TTTTAAAAAATTTCAGTGTGGTATAATTACAATGGTTTGTTTGATATTCAAATTGTTCCAAATTTGGTCATTCAGAGCCTCTTCTAGCTGGCTCTTTGTATCCTTTATACAAGACTCAGGCCTGTAATCCTAGCACTTTGGGAGGCTGAGGCAGGTGGATCACCTGAGGTCAGGAGTGCAAGACCAGCCTGGCTGATATGGCAAAACCCTGTCTCTACTAAAAATACAAAAATTAGGCTGGGCGCAGTGGCTCATGCTTGTCATCCCAGCATTTCAGGAGGCTGAGGCGGGTGGATCACCTGAGGTCAGGAGTTTGAGACCATCCTGATCAACATGGTGAAACCCTGTCTCTACTAAAAATACAAAAATTAGCTGGGTGTGGTAGTGGGTGCCTGTAATCCTAGCTACTCAGGAGGCTGAGGCAGGAAAATCGCTTGAACCTGGGAGGTGGAGGTTGCAGTGAGCCGAGATCGCGCCACAGCACTCCAGTCTGGGCGACACAGCGAGACTCCATCTGAAAACAAAAAAACAAAAAACAAAAAACAAGACTCCATTTGTCTTTGAGGACTTCTTGTTTTTTTTTTTTTTTGACACAAAGTATCCTAGGCTGACCTTGTCCTTTATCTGCTGCTATACATCTGGATCCAGCCATTACATTAAGCTCCTGGTGGAGAGGAAATGTACCCAGATCAGGATCTGGGTCTTAACTGTGCATGCTGCTGCTCAAGTGGTATAACCTTTTTAATAAATAATGAGCAGCATCTGTCAAAAGTTGTAATACATAGAATCCTCTGATTCATATCTACAGATATAGTATGTAAAAGCACAAAGATAAATATATAAGGATATTAACTGCAATATTGTACGTAATAGCAAAAAAAACCCAACTTCCACCAGTAAGATAACTGTTACATTATGATATGCACAGTACACAGCTACTCAAAACAGAGCTAGATCTATTTCTAGAAACAGAAGATGTCCATAGTAAGAAAAGCAAGTTTTAGTGTGATATTTAGAGTATAATCCTATTTTTATATAATGACCCAAGAAGCCCCTACAATGTATCTGTACATTTATATGAGCTTGAGGAAAAATGTGGAGAGATACATAAAGAGGTTATTAAAAGAAAAGAACATGCAGCAAATTTTGTGAGGGAGACAGCATGCCCAAACAAGTTAAGCCTTTCCATTACATTTTAAATATCTTAGTAAAGTTTCTCACAGATATTGCATAGCTTGGAAAATTCAGTTTACTACAATAGATATTATGGTACAAAGGTTAAGAGCATGAGTTTTGAAATGATAGTACAAGGATACAATGCTAGTTTCATCATTTACTGGTTATGTTACAAGTTATTTAATCTATCTTAAGTTTCAATATCCTCAGCTTTAAGATAACAATAAACACTCAGACCTCACAGTTATAATAGAGATTAAGTTAGATGATGCAATTGTTTATACATATGAATCTCTTAATAAATATATCTAGCACCTTGCCAAGTACTTACGCAATGTAATCGAAATACAAAAGATTAATGGTTGGAAGATTAGTGGTTACCTGGGTCCTGGTGAGATGTGGAGATAAGGGGTACAGCTAAAGGATATGGAGTTTCTTTCTTTTTTTTTTTTTTTTTTGAGACAGAGTCTCACTCTGAAGCCCAGGCTGGAGTGCAGTGGCAGGATCTCAGCTCAGGGCAATCTCCACCTCCT